GTTATGTAACTTTAGAATTGGACACCCTATCATTCAAAACATGAATCGTGTACTCCCTTCCATTGTTTTGAATAAAAGTTCAGTCAATTTTCAATGTGATGTCTGGGATCTTGCGAAACATCAGCGTACATCTTTCCACAAATCTATCTATAAACCATCAAAACCGTTCACTATGATTCACAGTGATGTTTGGGGTCCCTCCCGCGTCCCAAACCGTACTCATACAAAATGGTTCGTTACATTTATTGACGATCACACTCGAGTTTGTTGGGTCTACCTATTAAAAGACAAGTCCGATGTTCGTACCATGTTTATCAATTTCCATTTAATGATTCACACACAATTCCAAACGCAGATTCAAATTCTATGAACGGATAATGGCACTGAATACTTCAATTACATCCTAGGAGACTTTCTCTGCACACATGGGATAATTCATCAAAGTTCTTGTGTCGACACTCCCCAACAAAATGGGATTGCCGAACGCAAAAATAGACGTCTCCTAGAAGTTGCTCGAGCTCTAATGTTTACCACAAAAATGCCTAATTTATTTTGGGGAGATGCTATCCTTACATCCACCTATCTTATCAACCGAATGCCCAGTCGTGTTCTAAATTTCGAAACACCTCTTCAACGGCTTCATAAACATTTCCCAACCTCTCGTCTCACTTTAGATCTAAACCTACGAGTGTTTGGGTGCACCGTTTTTCTTCACATTCACTCTCACCACCGAAGTAAACTTGAACCCTATGCCATTAAATGTGTTCTGATTGGATACTCTCCAACACAAAAGGGCTATAGATGTTATGACCCTGTCACTAAAAAAATCTTTGTTAGTCTTGACGTCACCTTCTTCGAAAACACTCCATACTTCGGAAACACCTCTCTTCAGGGGGAGACCTTACATCAATATCGGTTCTTTGATCTCAGTCTCTCCTCTTCTGACCCTTCATCTTATAAACCTACATCACCTACTCTGCCATTGCCATTGACAGAGGGACACTCGAATCCAGGGGGAAAAGCAGAAAAACATGGCAAGGAGATACTAGTTTACTCAAGA